GTATTCAAGATGGCGGTCGTGTTGGTAATAAGGTCTATTCAAGATGGTGGTCGTATTGGTAATAAGGTCTATTCAAGATGGCGTCTTTATATATTGGTAATAGGTTATTTCAAACAGCTTACCTGGCTTTTTGGTTCCCATAGTTAATTACACTGAGAAGCAATGTCCATAAATCTCTTAGCTTTAGTCTCGCTTGTTGTTTTGATTRAAAACTCGGCTGGCCTCATGGCTGCACCCATGAACACGTRGTTATTCCTGAATTCCATGACTGACGTAGACGACTCACGTGCCGAACAATGAAATTCCTTGGCTCCAGTCCCTTCTAGGATACGCTGTAAATTTCTCTCTGTGATTCCTCCGCCTGTAAGAAATGAAATTTGTAACTTTCAAGTAAGCTTTACAAGATGAAAATACAGACAATAAGCAAGCAAACACCCCTTCTTCCCGTAAAAAAAAACAAGCAAACAAACAAACAACAACATACAACAAAAAAAAAACAATACTTTGCAGTACATAAAAACTGTAATAATTCCAAGCGCAATCTTGAAAAATAGCCCAGCCTTTGTATCAGAGTGAGACAGCAGTCCATCCAAGATGGCGATGTGAGCTGTGAAATGCACAGGGTCACAAGGTGCCCATGCCCCCCTTTCAAAGCCAAAAAATCGCAAAAACCATAGATGGATGACATTATRTTGACGTCATATGACGTCATAGTGAAGCTTTGGTATGTAAGGACCCCCCCCCCCCCCATAATGAAAATCCTAAAAATAAAAATTCTACACACACCTTATAGCAAAAAAAAACCTTTCACATACAAAATGAAAATAACCATCCTTACTAATTGCTTTTATAATATATAATGATGGGTAAATTTGTGATAAACTCTTTCGAGCAAGTGTGTGCCTATTCCTGCAATAAAATAAATCACCCGCTGATTGCTGAGTTTCCAGTATTCTTACCAGGCATTATGATAATATTTTCTCCGGCCTGAAAAAAAAGGATAAAACGTCATGTATGACGTCATCTCGCTCCCACGTGATCAAAACAGATCACGTGGGAGAAGAGGAATGAAACGTCTGAATGGCGTCCGACTCAAACGCCGCACTTASCAAGTGTCCTATTCAATTCTTGGAATTCAGTTCATGTAAAARTTCGCCGTTKAACTCGTTTMCTAAGTTCGACTGAACAATTTGATAAGAGCTGGCAATTAAGTTCGTCCCTTGTAGCCTGTGTACAGCCTAGCATCTTCCCCGGGCAACTCTTTTTTTTTTCTTCCTTTGTGCTTCCATTATAACAGTCATCTTGGCCTCTAGGGAATAATGACGTTAAAGCCGAAAAAATAAGAAGAGGAGAAGTTGTCTGCCCCCCTCCCCCCACCTTCTCTCGCCCCCATTCTCCCTCTTTTGACTCCCGAAAAAGACAGGAAGCCCGTGATTTTTAGTGATGCCTGCGGAGGATGCTACATGCAGCCAAACTAAAACTGTCGTTTTGTACACACCAGTTTTGGTTTGGCTGCAAGCAGGCTATGCCCTTGAAAGCAGCACGCTTGTTAACATTATGAATTCAGTACGGCGTTTGATCAAATTATTCGGTTTGGTAACGCGACATTTGACCGAGGCATTGGAGTAATACCTTAGATATCAATTGCTTTATTAGGGGTAGACCTTCGAGAACAGTGGAGTCCAATCCGCTGGTCAATAATCGCTGAATACCCATATTGACAAGATCACTTAGGCTTTTCATGGGATCTCGAACCATGTCGAACGCTAATAATTAGACAGAGCAGTCAATCAGATAACTAATGTAAATACATATTATAAAATTTATCGATAAATATAGTTTCGACTTACGAACCTCGATGAAAAGTCACCGGTAGAGGATTGGCGAGTTCTGTTAAAAAACGGAAAAAGACAAAAGAATATTCATAGGGAAAAAACTTAAATAAATAAATAAAATAAATAACTTTATTTTACGAGGGTAGCACATTACAGTCAAAGACTGATAAACTCGTGGCCCTCCTCTCACACTCACTACCTCTACATTAAGTATTTTAGCACACAACACTCCTCACACGTTGATTTTTGCTGAGGGAGGAAAACCGGAGGACCCGGAGAAAAACCCTCGTGGCAAGGGAGAGAACAACATCAAACAAACTCAAACTCACATATGGTCCGTGTCCGGGAATCGAACCCGGACCACAGCGGTGAGAGGCCAGTAGCTTAACCACTAGGCCACCCATGCCACCCAAAACCGGTTTCTCGAAATTAGTTGGTTTTGATTGGATTTCAAGGGTAGCCACCGAGATAACAGGTAAATGTATTACCAATGTGTTGATAGTTTACGAAAACAATGTTTAAATACCGCAAAAGGGCAAACTGGATCAAGTTTTCATTATTTTGAATGATTGATTTTGAATGGAATTTACCTATTAGCTCTTGGCATCTTTGGACATCAATGTCCCCTTCCCTAAAAAAGACAGAAATATGAATTGATGTTACCCAAAATCTAGAGAAACACACTTGGTGGGATTTCTTTAAAAAGCTGTAAATTGCTTGTTTGTATGTGTGTTTGTGTATGTTTGGAATGTGGGCTTTTGATTTGCTTGATAAAAAATAAAAAAATTGAAAAGAAGTTCAATACCCCAAATTTTGCAATTTGCGCTATTCGCTTTTTTGGAGAAACTTACTAGTAGCACAAGGAATTATGTGTGGCGTATATAAACACACATATTACAAAGTAAACACAGTGATGGCAAACGATAAACATGACACATTGTGAAATGGTTATATTTCATTAGAGTTCGCGCTTTATCGCTAAATTCCTGGACTTTTTAATATTGAATTTTCAAGGGTCCTCATTTCAATGGAAACGTTGAAGAAAAAAACAACATACAGATTGCAACCGATTCAAGAAGTATTCCAGAAGTCAGCACTGATCGGAACGTGTCTCATGATAGGTTGAGAAAACAATGGACAAACAATAGATAAGTCCTCCAACAATTAAACCTAATCTAATCTAAAAATAGAGCTGCTGTACTTAAGCAGCAAACAAAAAGCAAGTTTCGATATTCGGTGCTGTAGTACTGGAAATTTTGTCTTATTTTCAAGTGCTACTGTCAAGCGCCCTTGAAAACGAGTTCTCGATTCCAGGGCTTTTCAAGGATGTCTAGCAGCAGCTCGGACGGACCCTGTTAAGTCATCAGTGTTCAACAATGAAAATATCATTAGAAAACAACCCACGATAACCCGTCCCAACCTACAATCGTTGCCAAAAAACCTTGCAGCATAGAAGTATGCGTCGTCTCCAGCCTAACATTTTTCTCCTTTATTTTTTTCAGTTCTCCCCCTTAGCCCCCTTTCATCAATGTAGGTTCTTGTTTTGGATGCTTGTGTTCTATCATGGTAACATGCTCAATGACAACATTAAATTTAATGGGTCAGGGGGGGGGGGATGACATTTTCTGCGGGTGTTGCTTAAAATGAGGGAATTTGCCAACGATTATATTTTTCAGGATTTGCCTGCCAATGAAAAAGATCATACACCGCTTACTTTGTTAGTATTCCAAATACAACACCATCAGCACCAAGATTCTTGAGGATCAGCAAGTCTTCCTTCATTACTTTGAACTCGACGGGCGAATAAAGAAAATCACCTCCTCTTGGTCTAATCATGACAAACACTGGTATAGAAACGGCTTCCTTGATCACTTTCAGCATTCCTAAAATAAATTCGAAATAATTAATGAATAGTAAATGCAATCATTTGGGGGGAGACGTGATGGGGTCCAG